ACTCTGTTATTAGTATTGCTGTTGTTGCTGGTAATTTTCTTATTTGTTTTTTCCTAGTAGATTCTCCATATCTCAACCTGTGATCTTTACCTCTTTATGCCTCCACTGCTCCTCCTGCCACAGTGGGGAAGGGAGAAAGCAGCACATGTATGGGCTGTTTCCTTGGGAACACTTAACTGAAGAACACCAATCCTAAACCATGACAGTGACCCTGCCTTGGCAGAGGTGTTGGACTAGATGATCTCCAGAGGACCCTTCGCACCTTAACTGTTCTGTGATTCTGTGAAAATTCAGCAGAATACTGCTCTTGGTTTCAATACTCCTGCTTTCACAGGAGTATCAGTCTGCCTCTCCTAGAACATACACATCTACATATTGGCAGCTTTCACTGCACTGGCACAGCTCACGGGACATTCCCTGTGGATACAGCCTCTCTCGCTTCCATATGCACACAGCTGGCCTGAAGGCATCAACCACTGGAAGCTGGAACTTTTAAAACACCCTGCAAACAACAGCATCAACTAATGTAAACACTGAATTAAACAAGGAGTGCAGATTTAAGCAGTGGCAGGACCACCCAACCTGAGGTCTTCTGGCTGAGCTGTACAGGTTGAAGAGCTAAAGCATCTGCTTCCTCTACTAAGGAAGGGGTAGGTTCCCTTGAAAATGCTCAAGAGCCAAGTTCCTTCTGGATGCACATTTTCCTTACCTCACTAGGGAGGGAGGCTCAGGCAGTCAAGATCCTAACATCAGCATCTTAAGTAAAAGCTTGGCGGTCAGTCCAAACTACTCTTTAGTCCTCCTAAAATCAGAGATACTGGTATATGAGCACACTTGAGAACCAAAGCAATGCTTTCTCCCCACAAGTTACCTATTGTCATGTTTTGTAGGAAAAATTATTTCAACCAGGATACTCAGGAGCTGGGATGCAATAATGTGAATGACTAAGATACTTTATTTCAGCTTTTATTAAAAAAAAAAAAAACAGGACATCACTTTTACATTTCAGAATATTTTCAAACAAGGCTTTTTTTGTTAAAGCTTTAGGTATCTAAAAAGTGTCTACATGATTCACACCTGTATGAAGCTTTGCAAGTCACATCATAATCACCAAACAGCTATATTGCACAAAGATCCACACAATACCACACCAGTTTTAGCTTAGTCTACATTGTAAAGTGCTGTTTCATAGGGAGAAACTTGAAAAAATAATTATCTGGATAGGCAAGTACTGCTGAACTGCATTTCTGAAAGTTGACACTTCCATAGTAGTTGAAAAAATATCACAGCATGTTGTCAGTGCCTCTTGACAGTGTGTTTTTTACTTAATAAGCTGGAGTAAGCACCAAAGAGTACTGTCTGGAATGCATACTAAGTATTCAAGTAACACCAAAAGCCAAATTAATTTTTAAACTCAGGATGAGATAAATATAGATATATCAAAAGGTAGATAAATGTTTAAAGTAGCATCAGTTTCTGTCCAGTAGAGTAATTGCATAGCAGAACACATGTTAAACGAATTTGAAACTCTAGTAGAAAAGGCCCCTAAATTTTGAATTTCTTACTTCTACAGTCTCAAACCAATAATCTTTTTTTTAGATCATGGAGTCTGAGACACTGTCTTCATATCTGCAATAGACTGTTCCATTTACAAATATTTCCATAACGTAAAAAAAGGTCTGGGGATACAAATCCAGATGCTTGTAAAAAATCTAAATGTGGAAATGTGGAGTGCTAATCATGACATAAAGCGTCTAATTTAGACCAGTTTCTGAAACAGAGGAATCAAAAATGAAACATTTGTCTATGGAAGGAGATTTGGTCTGGAAAAGAAAGTTCAGCCCTACAACCTACAGCTCTAAGCCGATTCTTGGTGTGGTAGATGAACTGACCATGCCAGTTATACAAGGGGAGAAGTCACAGCTACTGAAGTGAGAATCCTTTCTCCTGGCTCTCTCTGACTGCTGCACTCACACATAATACTCAGCAGAGTATACTAATGTAAGAGTTTTCAGTGCTTGACTTGGGGTTTAATAAATATTGGATGGGGAAATGAAGTGGAAGGAACAAAAATCTTAACAGCGGAGAGATCATCTGAGTCTCACTACAACCAGTTTGCTCCAAGACCTGGAAAAGCAAACAAAAACATGGGCATGTTTGTGTTTCCAATTAAGCTACTCAGGAACATCCAAGTCTAGAAGCGACTGAAGAGCTGCAGAAGACCCTCAGAACTCAGTGACTAGGTAAACAAGCATGATCGACATAAACAAATGCAAAACAGCCCACCAGTGGGGAAAACCCTGCCCACATCCTGCACAACCATCAGGACTGCGTGAAAAACAATGCAGAAGAAGCTTCATCATGATAACCATCTAAACCAGAAGTTACTAAAAAGGCTAACTAGTGAGACACCCTTTGTCTTTTCGCTTGGGGGAGAAAATTCCAAAAGGTTCTCCATACTCCACACCTGGTGCTGTGTGTTTCTCACACAACTCACAGTGAATTTATGGAGTGCACTTGCACACAGTCTCATCAAGACAGAACATTTGCAGATGAGATGCAGAAAAGAAGTTGCGGTTGCTCAGCCTTTCTGGCTGGTATAGACAACTGCTTCTGACAGTTTTTTCCAACAGTGGCCACAGTCAGAGGCTTAAGAGAGAAGACACTGGGAGAGGTGGACTCGAGGTCAGATCAGTTCAGACAGCAAAGCCTGCAAAAGATTTGCATTATGACCTACATTCACTTAACTGTATTGTGATTTTCAGGTCCATTTCAGAGCTCTGAAGCTGTATATCCATGTACTTAGTAAGCATCCTTCACGCACATTCATCAAGATGCAACAGTATCCCCAAATTAGAAAGCATATCCCCAAATTAGAAAGCATATCCCCAAATTAGAAAGCACCAAGTACTTACTAGAAACATCCTTCACTTTAGATCCTTATTTTTCCATAAGTCAACAGTTCACACACCCTACTTTTTTTTATACATGGGTTTCTATAAAGACAGGCAGTCCACCTCCATTCTCAGTAAGATCATGAAACAGATCCTCCTGGAAGATAGGTCAAAACTTATGGAAGACAAGAAAGTGATCAGGGACAGCCACATGAGTTCACCAAGGGCAAGAACTGCTTGACTCACCTACTGGTTTTCGGTGACCCAGTGACTGCAACAGTGGATACCGGAAGAGCTAAGAGATGTACCTGGGCTTCTGTAAGGCCTTTGATAAGATCCCCCACAACATTCTTATCTCCAAACTTGAAAGAGAAGGGTTTAAGTGGATGGACTGTTCAGTGAATAAGGAATTGGCTGGATAGCTATACCCAAAGAATCACAGTCAACAGCTCAATGTCCAAGCAGAAACCAGTAATGAGCAGTATCCCTCAAGGGTCTGTCCTGGCACTGGTGTTGATGTGGATCTCATGAGGTTCACCAACCAGGGTACTGCACCTGGATCCAGGAAATCTCCACTATCAATACAGACTGAAGGATAGAGAGCAGCTCTGTAGAGAAGGACTTGGGCATCCTGATGGATGAAAACTTGGCCATGAACCAGCAGCGTGTGCTTGCACACACTGCATTCAGCTCTGGGGCCCCCAGTACAGTGGTTCCAGAGAAGAGGCACAAAAATTGTCAGAGGGCTGTAACACTTCTCCTGTGAAGACGCTGTAAGAGATGGAGTTATTCAGCATGGAGAAGGCTCCAGAAAGACCTTATTATGGCCTTTTAATATATAAAAAGGATTTAAAAAAAAAAAATGAAGGAAGTCTTTTACCAAGGCCTCGAGAGACAGGACAAAGGGCAATGGTTTTGAACTAACAGATGATAGATTTCGGTTGGAGATTTTTTTTTTTTTTTAAGGAAGAAATTTCTAACAATAGGGGTGGTAAGACATTGGAGAAGGTTTCCCAGAGAAGTGGTGGATGCCCCATCCCTGGAAGTGTTCAATTTCATGTTGGATGCAGCTTTGAGCAACCTGGTTAGTGAAAGATGTCCCTGCCTGTGGCAAGGGGGGTTGGAACTAAATGGTCTTTAAAGATCCCTTCGAACTCAAGTTGCTCCCATGGTTCTATGATTCTGCTAATGTGATACAGTTTTAACATTAGAGGAACTGAAATTTGAAGGGAAACATCCTTTAAGGCAGAAATTAGGTCTCAAAACTTAACCAGTGCATTTTTAACATTCTTACTAAGAAAAATCCAAACCGCTACTAGATTAAAAAAAAATCAGATATTTCTTTAATACTTGCTTTTATAGGTTAATTTTTTAAATTCACATATAATTACTCATGTCAGCAACTCACTTCCTTTTGCCTAAATACCAGGTACCATTACTCACACATGCAAACATTTCTGATTTTTAATTCAAAATTCCGACATTTAAGGTAGAATTGCACTTTATTTTAGATAGCTTATAGTAAAAGCCTAGAAGAATAAAGAAACTTACCGTTGTGCCACCAACTATATGACACTGAGTGTCAGAACTTGAGTTTTAACTTACAATCACATTAAGGGTATACAACATGCAATGAGATTCAAGTTTACCTTCATCATTCCAAGTATAAGTTAAACATTCAACACCATTTCTAATTTCTTCTTCTTTCATATTATTTTTTTTATATTCTATTCTGTGCTGAAAGGCCGAACTGGTGCTCAGGGGTTAACTGGACAGCATTTAACCCTGCAGAGGCATTCAGGCAGATTTCTTAAAAGGAGAATGGCAATCACACACCGTCAGCTTTGACTTCATTAAATACAAAACTGACTACGTAAGGACTTAAGTTAAATAAAAGGCAGATTTCTACCCCGAAGAGTAAGTTTTGGTTGCTAGTCCTGAAAAGTAAATTTTGGTTGCTAGTCAGACTTCTTCCCTGCTTCCCCCAGGAAAAGAAGTCTGTGGAGAACAGCATTGCACAGATCACAAGTAAGGCAGGAGAATTCCTCTGGTGCAGAAGTGCCTGCACCATTTATTTTAAAAAAATCACAGGCCAGAGGCTTGTGAGCAACTTGCAGGTGGAATATAATTTATCAGGACTAAAAGCTAAGGTAGAATTCTTCTGCTTTCATTTTCTGTCTCAGAACAGCAATGGTAAGAGTTTACTGCACTAGATGTCATCGTGGTACTCCCTGTCCTTGGCTGTGACAGCCTCCTCAAGGTGCACTGCCGCACTGCCCATCAGGGCAAACGCTGGGTACATCAGGCCGGAGCAATCCACCTCACACTCATACAGGCACTTCATGCGGCCTGCATCGTAAAACCCCACCCTGCCTCTGTCACAGTCAAGGCAGACGCCCAAGCACGACGGCAGAGGAAGGATTCTGCTGGCTGGATCCTTGGGAGCAGCAGGTGTGGCAGGGATAAAGAACTTCTTCATGCCTAAAGTGACCAGTGTGCAAGGCTGCGATGAGTCGAAGAAGGTATCTTCACTCCCACTGTCATGACCGCTGTCCTGCTCGTATCTGGAACACAAAAAAACCCCACGTGCTTTTGATAAATGCTGAAGTGGGATCAGTGATGTGAACAGGAGAAGAACATTTCTGTCAGACAGGCGACACCACATGATCACCCAAAAATCTTGGGTGGTAAAAAAAAAAATCACAGAATCATAAAATATCCTGAATTAGAAGGAAAACACTAAAAACATCATATTCCAAGTTCTGGCCCAGCACAGGGCAACCCCAAGTGTTACACAATGTGCCTGAGAGCATTGTCCAAAAGCCTCTTAAGCTCTGGCATGTTTGGTGCTGGGACCACTTCCCTGGGGAGCCTGCTCTAAAGTCCAACCACCCTCTGGGTGAAAAACCTTTCTCTAATATACAGCTTAAGGAGCTCATGACAAAGTTTTATGTCATTCCCTTGGGTCCTGGCAATGGTCACCTGAAAGATAAGATCAGTGTCTCCTCTCTGCTCCCCTCCATCTCCTCTTCCCCAGGCTGCACAAGCCAAGTGACTTCAGTCAGTCCTTATAAGGCTTTCACTCCAGACCCTTCAAAATCTTCATGGCCCTCCTCTGCACACTCTCTAACAGCTCAGTGTCTTTTTTTGTGTTGTGGCACGCAGACCAGCTCCCAGCACTGGAGGTGAGGCTGCCCCAGAGCAGAGCAGAGCAGGACAATCCCCTCCCTTGCCTGGCTGTGATGCTGTGCCCGATGCCCCCCAGGACATGGGGGCCCTCCTGGCTGCCAGGGCACTGCTGGCTCATGTTCAACTTGCCATTGACCAGGACACCCAGGTCCCTTCTAGAACACTGCTCTCCAGCCTCTCCTTTCCCAGACTCTCTGTACAACCAGCATTGCCCCATCCCAGGTCAGAACCCAGCACCTGCCCTTGATGAATTTCATACAGCCTGCCCAGCCCTCTCATTTTCAAGGTGTCTCTGCAGGGCCTTCCGGCCTTTGAGGGAGTCAGCTGCTCCTCCCAGTTTTGTATCATCTGTGGCCTTACTTAGTAACCCTTCCAGTCCTGTGTCCAAGCCATTTGTGAAGACAAAGAGCACAGAGCTGAGCATGGAGCCCTGTGGAACCGCCAGTGACAGGTCACTAGTCTGGTATCACCCCATTCACTGTGACCCCTTCTGCCTGGCCCCTGAACCAGTTGCTCACCCATCACGTGATGTCTTTATCCAGCTGTGTGCTGGACAGTTTATCCAGAAGGATCTTGGGAGACGCAGCATCAAAAGCTTTACTGAAATCAAAGGAGATTACATCAACTTCCCTTGGTCAGCTCAGTGGGTTACATGTGTCATGAAAGGAAAGTAAGTTTCTAAAGCAGGACTTTCCCCTGATGACTGCACTGTCCTTCAGGTGTTGTTCAGTAATTCCTAGAATAATCTTCTCCATAAATTTACCAGTCACTGAAGGGAGACTCACAGCCCTATAGTTACCAGGGTCATCTTTCCTGCCAGTCTTGAAAACTAGGACAACATTTGCCAGTTTCCAGTTGACTGGCACCTCCAAAGACCATTGAAACATCAGAGAGGTCTCACAATTACATCAGTCAGCTCAGTACCCTAGGAAGAATCCCATCAAGCTCCACAGACTTATGGGGATTTGGGTGGAACAGCAAATCCTGCACAAATTTGGGATTGGCTGGGAGTTTATCATTCTCACAGCTATGGTCTTTGAGTTCTGGGACCCCCAAAGATCACTACTGTGTTGAAACTGTCAATAAAGCATTAAACATTCCTGTCTTGTCTCTGTCTCTTTTAGTGAGGTGACCATCCTCCTCCTGTAACAGGCCAATGGTATTTCTGACTCCTTTTTGCTATTATTGTGTTTTTAAAAAACTCTTTTCATTGTTCCCTGCGTTCTGGCCAGCTTCAATTCCGGTTGGGCTTTGACCACATGAACTTTTCCCCTCAAATGTCAAGCAGCATCTCTTTATTTCTCCCACGCTGCCCAATCTTGCTGCTATTTGCCATACCTTTTTTTTTTAGCTTCAGCTCTAGAAGTTCTCTGCTCACCCAAGGCAGCCCTCTGTCCCACCTGCTTGACTTATGATATTTTGGAATTGCCTGCTCTTGTGTCCTTAGGAGGTGGTGCTTAAAAAGTGACCAGCACTGATGGACCGTAGCACCTTCAATAGTGGCCTCCCAGTCTTTCCTGACTAGTATCCTCAGCAGCCTGAAGTTTGTTCTCCTCATGACCAGAGTTGAAGTTTTGCTGGCACTTCTCCTCCTGACAACAGAGATTTTAAACTTAATTGCTTCATGGTTTCTGTGGCCAAGACGGCTGCTCATCTCCACTTTGCTCACAAGATCCTCTCTGTTGACTCAGAAAAAATCAGGGAGAGCACCTTTCTCAGCTGGCTCCCTTAGAACCCATACCAAGAAGTTATCATCCAGGTCTTTTATGACTCCTCTGGACTTCTTTGTATCATCTATGTGGTGCTTTCAGTTAACATCTGCCAAGCTGAAGTGCCCTAAAAGACAAGGGTGGTTGATGTAGAGATATTCCTTAGTTCCTTAAGGAATAATTCATCAGTGTCCTCATCTTGGCTGCGTAGCCTGTAGTAGATTCTCACAAGGACATCCACTTTGTTTGTGCCGTAATCCTTACCCAGAGGTTCTTAACTGCAGCACTGCCAGCTGCAGGCTCCATACATTCCAGGCACCATGTTACAGACAGTGGCACCCCCACTTCATCTGCCCCCAGTCCCTCTGAAGAGCCTGTAACCAACAGGGCACTCCAGTCACAGCACTCATCCCACCAGTGACACATAGCTTAGCCAGGAAGGAAGAGGCATTTAGGAGGTGGGATTTCACTTGGGTTACTTCAAACAATTAATAACACCTGAACTCCAATAAGGACAAAAACCACAGAAGGCTTTACTAAGGAGTGGATGTATCTAAATGTACTTAGGCTAGGCAATCATTAATGAATCTACAGGTACAGTAAATCAGTTAACTTGAGAAGTAACTTAGCAAATATGACCAATCCTTACAGACAAGAACATGTCCTGTGAGTTTTCCATGATGCTGCTATGTTACAGTATCTGTAAAATTCACAAAACAAAAGGTAGTGTTTTAGTGGTTTAAGTTTGGTGGCTTTTTTTAAAGTGCTCTGTCTGAAGACTTCCCTGAAAGTTTCTCAGATGGTTACTGGAGAGTCTGCAGACATACTTGGTCAGTCTACATGCTTTTCTCTCCACCTCTGTCCTCAGATAAAGACGCATGGAGAAGCACACATTCTTCAGTAGAGACATTCCCTACTTAAGATTTCAGTTCTGGGGTGCTTGTGGGGGCAGTTCTTTCTGTGTCAGCTAAAATTTTACAGCTCTCTATGCGGAGAAGGAAAAAGAAATCAGGAAATTTAGATCTAATTTCTCACTTTGCAAATGGCTCCATCTGGCTTCAAGCAGCTCAAGATTGTGCTGACACATTTTCCATGTGTTATACAGGAAGAAGTCAAACATTTCTAAATTTCTAAATAAGAGTCCCCAGGAGATAGCCTCCCTGCCTGCAGTTCCCACATATGTGCAGGCTTGCTATAACTCTAATTGTGAGATGGAAATCTTTTTATTGGTTTGTCCACTGTACTTTGGCTTGTGCTCAGTAGCACTCCAATGCAGTATGCAAGCATGTAGCCTGGGGTAAGCCAGTGACTTGGAATCCACTGTGACACAGCTAGTGCAAAAACATACAAATATGCACAGTGAATACTGTTCCTCTGAAAGGCTGCCAAACCTTGTATGCCAAGGGAATTAAGGCAAAACCTTACTACTGATAATCAAGTATTGCTTCAGTCTTAAAACTTACTTATTTTTAACCTTCTTGCTTTAACTGACATTCCTTGGCATCTACAGGAACCTGACTTCTTTCCCAAAAAGAAAGAAAATAGGACTCTGGATAATCAGGACATCTTTCTGCTAATAACGGGGGAAACTGCTTACACAATATCCTTCAAACTTTTCACTGGTTAGGTTCACCTTGTGTACTAACTGAAAACAGACTTGCTCTTCATTTACTTTAAAAAAAAAATCTTCTTATGTAAAACATGCATTAAAGCAAGAGTATGCAACTTACCTTGGATTGATAACATCAGAGGTATTGTGGAACAATTTCTGTATCTTGCTGCTAGGAACAACTCCCACTTTCACCAGGTATGAGTAGGCTTCAACATTAAAAGCCCAGAAGTGCTTCCCTTTGGCAATCCCAGTGTCACCAATGATGTAATCCAGGGTTGTGAAGCATCCAACCTGCAAGCGCTCAGATCCCAGAAGCAGAGGAAATCCAGCCCTACTTTCCACAGATGTTCTTCTTGGGTTCAGCTCGAGATGCTCATTGTTGTACCCACATTTGTCATCAAAAAGAAAACTGAAAACTGAAAAATAGTATCCCAGAGAAAAATTCTGCTTAGTTATGTATTTGGCCTTCTGTGCTTATAAACTACATTTTAAGTCATACAGGCATTAGAATTTGCCACTCTTAAAGGCTACCAGGACTGTCATGCAAGCTAACAGTCTCTGTATGTTACTGACTTAATCTGTAACAGTGCTTCTAAACATTTATGAAACTGGTAACAGTGTAGGAGTTATCTGGGAGCTACTGGAAACTGCTTTCAGCTCTTAACACTGACGGATATAAGAAAACCCCCTACCCGGAGCTGGAGGAGTACGCATGATAACTTCCCGGCTCCAAGGGCTGCAGATGGACCCTTTGTAACCTCGAACTCTAAAGGCGTAGCTGCTGTCATCATCGAGATCAGACAACACCTTGCTCTTGCCACACACTTCAGTCTTCTGCCATGTCACACTCTCCTCTTCTTTATTAAGTTTATGATACTCAAGGACATAGATATCAGCTGAATCTGTCTTCCCAGAGCATTCCCAGCTGATCAGAGCTTTGTTGTACATTCTGCTCTGCTCTTCGTTGATTTCTGGTATTTCTAGACCTGAAACACATGAGAAAAAAGGCTCTGAAATTTAGATACATGTTATTTTGGAGTTAATCATACAACCAGTCCTGGGTAACCCAAACTGTTATTGTATTCCACATCTAGCTGTGCCCAGTGAGATTTCAGCCACTTTGTAACTACGGACTATTACAGTTATTTTTGGCCCATTGCTATTTTGTTTTTTTAGTAAAATGTTATATTCTTCACTTCTATCTACTCATAGTTTTTTTTCCTTATTGGTGGAAAGGGATTGGTTAAAACAATATTGGAAGAAAACACATTTTAAAGCATCCACCTCTTAAAACTGTCTTAAACCAAGAGATAACCCCTTTGTTGAGCTATAGCACTGTTAAAGGGGGAATCTGACTCTCCCAATTAAAAGAAGTAGATGAGGATGGTTCTCTCTTCATACACTTAAATAAATCCCCTATTTTCTGTTTTTACTTTGAAAGACTTGAGCCTTTTTTTTCTGGCAGCTTTAAAAACTATTTCTTTCTGTCATGCAATAAAAAGCTTTTAGAAAGACTGAGTGTGATGTAAATACAATATTTTGGAAGCCAGTGCAAACTGGTACTGTAGGAAAGGAAATGTAATTTTAGTTTCTTTATGAAAGCTGAAACTAACACTGCTGCCAGGTAATGACTTCTGAATCATGGAGACAGAAGGAACAATGCAAGCCACAACACTGAGCTCTGCAACTGCTGCCCTGTGCAAGTTCTGCCTTTCTCCAGATAAGCCTTTAAAGCTTAAACTTGAGAAAGACCTAATGCTCTCAGAATTTACCATTGGAATGGAAGGACAAGTCACCAAGGATGTCTTCTTGCTTGGCAGTGTCCACCACAAAGTCTTCAAAAGTAGTTGCAGCTGCTGGCATAAAGCTCCTCAGAGACTCAGTAGCTTTTTGGATTCTGAAAACACAAAAGTGGGATAGCACAAAAAAAAAGGCAATTCAAGTTGGACATTCCTTAAAGTAAAAATGCCAGGTTTTGCTTTTAAAAAAGTTTTGCTTTCATGTACTTACTGATGTCTCCCAGAAATTTTCTCTAGAATCTCTAGAAAGATTCTCAAATGCCAAATTTAAAGGCCTTTTGTACATGAGTGTAAAAATAATGAACAGGTAGTCATTCAGTTGGCAAAGCATTTAAATAATCTGGAGCATTACGTTCAAAGAACAAAACTGATGTAGGGTGCCAGGAGAGAACACAAAGATCAAAGAGCCTAAAGCCAGAAGAGTCCTGGTAGATTAACTTGCAAATACCTGATAAAATCTCTGAGACAAGGAATTTGTCAGGGAGCTAAACAGACTGCCCTCCCACTTCAGTCCCACTGAGCAAGGCTAGGCATTGTGGCAGGACAAGAGCACTCCCCTCCTGAGTGTTGTTTCCTAAGGCACACTCTAATGCAGGAATTCCAGCTAAACCAGGATCATCTCCCAAGAATACAACTGCACAGACATCCTGGAACAGTACTTGTGCCTCAAACAGAAGATATTTAAGATACCTGACATGAAGTTGTTTTGCTGTTTGAACAAAACAAGAGGGATCTGTTTCTTTAAGCACTTCTTGAGCATATCCTACAAGGCCATTATTTTCCAGGAGCCCTTGGTATTCTTCCACTTGTGTTTGCAATTTTTCCAACCTTATATTCTTAGAAGTTTCAATTGCCCTAAGAGCTGCAGATTTCTTCTCTTCCAGGACACAATATAATTTCTCAAAACTCTGAGATGCTTCTTGTTTAGCTATTTCACTGTTGCACTAGGAGCAAACAAAAGACATTTCAGACAGATTCTACGTCACTGTGACTCTGTACAGAAACATACTTAAGGTTGTTCAAGATATCACAGTAATCTAGTCATCCATTTGACAGGTAAGACTAATGAGCTTTGTTATGCTATTCAGCACTGAAAATGAGATCAGCACACCACCCAAGCTAGCCAGCATTTGCTGTCTTTAACAGAGAATGAAGAGCAGGAAAGTATTCCTCTGATTACACCCTGAGTTATGCATTACATTTGTCTAGAGAGCTCATGAAAAAGCACTGTAAAAACAGTCTCAGAAGTCTTCATGCCCAAGTGCTAGACGCTCTTCCACCTTCCCCAACCACCCTGACGTGAGGGTCCTGCCCAGCTTCTCGTGTACACCCTCTGAACCTCTGAATACTGCCCTGGATAAAAGGAACTGCAAAACTCAGAGGCAGTCTGCAATCAAGCCACACCAGTACTAGGAGCTTCTTTAATTTCTGCCTTTGTGCTTTTCAGCTTGTATGTGACTCTTTTGCAGGGAGATTTTGTCCTTAATTCTGCCTTTCTCAAGGTAAACAGGCAGTGTAAATAGTGCACCATCATAAACACACGAATACCCTACGTGTAACCCACTTTGGTTAAGGTATCAAGTAAGCTTTATTTTATTTAAATTTACACAAACATAAACTTCCTTTTGTCTGCTTCCCCTACTGGCAGGATTAGGTCTTACCATGTGTGACTCAGTCTACCACAAACTGTTCAAAAATTGTTTTACTACTTAACTGAAAAACTCAAAGTTTGAAACATTTCACTGAAAACAGTTTTGAATCCTTCCTGTGACTGTACAAAGGCCAACCCCAGACAGCCTTGAAGCCACTCTTACCTCAGTTTCTTTCATCAGCAGGTCCAGCTGTGTGATGTGAGCCTTCACCTGGCTCTCCTTACTGATGAGGTACTCGATATCTTTTGAAAGTTTCTCCTGTTGAAGTAAACCAGCAAGAACAGGACATCTCACACAAACTGACAACCAGCACTAGCAGGTCATCCTGTTTTATCCTCAGTTTATCTAGCCACAAGGACAAAAGCATGACACCAGTTATGAGCAGCAGTCCTGTGGAGAATTGTTTGGTGACCTGCAGTACTGCAAAGCAACTCCAAGAGCGGCTGCTGGCACAGGCTGAAGGGTCAGAGGTAACAGTGTCAGCTGGCTCCCAATCACCCAGGAATCACCTTCTCTTGGATAGGGAAAAAGAGGCTTCAGGACATTAAACTTACAGAAAGGATAGTTATTAACTCATTTGCAGTACGAGTTGCTAGAAAAATGAGTAGTTCAAATCACAGATTTGTCCCAGTGCTTCCTTAGCTGCAAGAGTTACAGGAAAAGCCTTGCAAACTGGTGAGGAGGCCAAATAGCACAAGGTAGGCTAATCTGATCTTTTTTTTCCTTTTTTTTTTCTCCTGAGAGCAAGAGAGGAAGAAAAGGAAGAAGAGGAAGTAGGTGCTGCCTTCAATAACTATCTGATGTTTGCAAGTCTTTACTGTGTTTTGCTTAGGAAATTAACATTCTGAAGCTATGCAGCTTCAGAAAAATACAAAGATATCAACAGATACTTCAGATGCACATTTCTCAGACCGGCTTCTCAAGTATCCTCTACCACAAGCTACCTGAACACTTATATTTAAAAAAATTGGTTGTAAAGTTGATTAATTACTTAAACCTTCTGTGTTGTCTGTACTGCTGTACAATTAGCTGAAATAAGATGCCAGTGCTTTTCTGGAGTTATATTTCAAGCATCATAGCAAACAGTTTGGTTTCTAAAATATGCCCTATATCACATTAATATATACATTAACAAATGTTGCACAATGACAGGGCTCAAAACTAGTCCAGAGTCTCCTAAACACACATCCTGGCTTCTATCCAGTGGGAGTTTGCCCTCACATCAGAAGTACTCTTTCCCTTCTTAAGGCCAGGTCCAATGACATTTTCTTGTACCTTAAGGGTTTTGTAGGCAGTGCTCATGGTTGTTACCCTATGGTTTGCATGACCTCCACCCAGTTTGCAAAGATGACAAACAGGCCTTCTGCAGATTTCACAGTACATGTTTACTCTCTCCATTTCATGTTCTGGACACATCAAAATCTGTGGGGGGGAAAAAAAAAAAAAGAGCAGAGACAGTACAGGTGTACTTCCAAAAATGGAGGTTCTCAACAAAAAATCAAAACATCCAATGAACCCAAAGCAGCGTGTGACTTCATCAGTGAATTTTTTATAGTCAGTTTATCTCTACCTTTTATATTTATCAAGGCCATTGAAAGCCAGCACATGAACACATACAGTTTCACAAGGTTTACAGTAAGTAAGCCTCTAGCAGTGTCTGTGTAGCCTCCATGTAGCAATCAATCTTTTGCTAAACCCTGCCCATGTTGTTTGCAATCCCTCCAGCACCCTACACTCCAGCTCAGAGCTGTAAATGCAACATATAACACACTCAGCCTATCAAACTTAACCATGCTCATGCCAGCATCTCTTGCAAGAGCTATGAACTGATCCGTAAAGCAAGAGCTGACATAACACTGCAGCAATTTAAGTCCAAGCTACATTTTAATAAACCACATAGCCATTGCTTTTGGAGCCACGAAGTGCAGCCACCACCTACAGCTACAGTCATTTTAAAGACAAAATTTCAAATTTGTGTTTTAATTTTTCTGTCTGACTCCGATTAGAAGCTGTTCACACTGGCTGCTACTCCCAGGATTAGCTCAAACAGCATTGCAAGAAAGCTGGAGTTTGCTAAAAAAATCACCTTTCAAAACCAGAACTTGTTGAAATGAATGCTCAAAGAGTTAAAAAAGTGCTGCTCAAGTCCAAGTTCCAGCAGCAGATTAAACATATAAAGTGTGTGTGTGCGTGTGTGTGTGTGTGTGTGTGTGTGTTTGTTTAAAAAAAGAAACAATGCTTGCTTTGCCTCATTCTAGATCACTGAAAGACAACATTTGGGTCATCTATTACATAGGAGTTACCAAAGAGGAACTTTTGAGGAAGCTTTTTAGTTTCAATATGCTCCCACACAAGAGAGGTCAGAAAAGGGCATAAAAATAGAAAATTGTGAGCATCACAAATATGGACACAATAAGCTAAAACCTGAAACCAATGATGCTTTCAAATCTCAAATGTTATCCTAAGGAATGGTTAAAGGCACCAGGCTCACCAGCACGTTAAGACTATCCTTAAACGAAATATGCAATTAGTGATCCCATTTGGATTGACTACTGGATTTGGAAGGAAATAAAAAAGAGAAAAAAGGAAGTTGCCAAGAAAATCAGCTGTGCAGGCAAACATCTCCAAAAGCTACAGTCATTCACTTAATCTGTGGAAGTAATTTTTCCACACAGCAGTGTGGAAATTTTCCACACCTCACAGAAAATCCTTGTTTTTATTCATCTCCTCATATAAGCAAGAACTACAGCCTGCAAGCAAGAGACAGCAGAGGTCAGCAGACTGCCTTGTCTTCTCTCAAAACTCAAGAACAATCAGCCCAGTATGTGCTTCTCCCATCCCCACCACACACTCTACAAAGTGCTCTCCAGCCTGGTTGTAAATTAAAGTGGTGACTGAGGACATTGTTTAGGGAATCAACAAATACTTCATGCTTTCAGCTCAGGTCTTAAAATTGCAGAGCAATGAAAAATGCACTTTTCTTACTTTATATTAAGCTCAAGCAGTCCTCAGAAAAGTTTCTATAAGAGCACAGTAAGGATCAGCTTGCTGCAGTTGGGAAGCTTTTCAAAACAAGTAGATGTATCTAAAGTTACCTATACTGTGCTTTTCTCCTTTTTTCCACTCTTCCTGTCTTCACATACAATTAGAAATGCTAAATCCCACACGTGCACACATACTCAATACATCAGTGTCAGAATAATCTAAACCACTTCACCCCATTTTGTTCTGCTTCAAGAGAATTCACCTACTGACTTTTAATCCTGAATTCAGTCTGCATGTAGTAACATCACAGGGCACTTTTAGGAGTGCACAAGGATCACAGGATGCCTTTGGTATTTTCCCATAGCACCACAGCAGCTGTGAGGATTTAGATGCCATAGAAGAAAAGTTTTTAAGGAGCTGCATAGCATTTTAAAGCGAGAGCTGGAAGATAGCATGCAAACTTTCACCTTTCTCATTTATCCAATAGAGGGACATTTCACACAATGTACAAGCACGTTTGAAAGCATATGAAGCACATGCTCACTTTTAACTGGAATTAGTGTTTTAGACTCAAGGAAAACACCACCAAGTGGACTTCTGGACGTTCAGTATCTCCCAGCCTGCTAACTTTAGAGGCTCAAATTTTTCCAGTCTCAGAAGAAAAGTACACCAGGAGTGAAGAGCTTCTTACACATTGCACATTAGTCAAATTTACTTAAATTAATAATAATTAATCAGGACTCCTTTACCATCAGCATTTGTGGCACCTGTGGGATGTCCAGCAAGGAGGCACAGGCACATGCCCCTTCATGTCCCCCAACCTGTGCTGGGACATTAAGGCCATTATTGTGGTCCCTGGTTAGCAAGATAGTATCTGTGACATGTAACATCTGTGATCTAACAAATTCAATAAGGCACTGCCATGTACTGCACCACGCTCAGCATGAGACACAAAGGTAGTGGCATTTTATTACCACTGTTTTGCCTGAATGCAGTAACAGCAGCACCAGGCTATAAAGTAGAATTTTTGCCAGAGCATTTTTATCTTTTCTGCTATAGATTAAAAAAAAAAGGTATAATAACAATGGAGAACATAACTCCATCTTTTGCTCTTGTTAGATGCAAGAAAGGAGAGAAAGAAGATGCTTGGTGATGGATCAAACTCAAGCACAAAGCATCCAAAGGGGATTTACCTAAAGGGGGCATGGAAGAGGCCAGGTGTGTGGGGGTTTTTAAGTTTACCACACACAGCATCCTCCCTAGGCAGTCCATTCTAGGTGATCAAGACCAAGGTGCCAGTAACACCAAGGGGGGTATGGATTCAATCCCTCTATGAATCATTAAAAGCTGGACTTGATGATCCTTGTGGGTCCTTTTCAACTTAGAATATTCTGTTATTTGTGATCAATAAGCCTTAAAAAAGAAAAGAAAAAGAAAAGACTCAGATCACAAGTAACACAATCCATTCCACCAAGTAAAAACCCTTATTTTTACGGGACCCTTCAAGTATGTTCTCAATGTCCCCTTCAATGACAGCAAGGAGCAAAAGCTTGTGGTTCACTCAATAAATAACAGCAATTGTCAATAAAGCAATCATGGTCATAAAAAGCAACTATCATTGCACAGACATGTATGCAGCTACATGAGAATGCTGCAACCTGAATTCTGTGAGGTACAGTATACTTACCTTGGGTCTGAAGTTGGTGGTTGGTCCTACATATTCATGCTGGGCTTTCGCTGTTCCCCAAGGATGGTGTATTTTGAAACATGGATTGCAATAGCTTGCACTGCAGTCCATGCAACTCTTCGTGGACTCCTGAGCTGGAGGTTTGCAGAAATCACACATGATAGCAATGGCTGCCCTGGCTGCCTGTCTGTATCTTTCCACAATGGTTTCCAAAGTGAAGTTGCGAAATAAGCCATTGATGCCACGCTCCCCAAGATCAATATCCCGCTGGCAACTCGGACAAGGAAACAGAGTTGATCTAGGAGTCAGTGAATTGCGTTTTCTGCCTGTGTAGACACCAAAACCCAATTTAGGATGAGTGTAAACCAAACTGGTTTAGATTTAAAAAGAAGCACAGGAATTTATGAACCAATTCCAGACTGTAGCACATCATCCAAACAACACCAATTCATATGTAGTCTGCCAAGTCAAAGAGAATACAATTGCCCTGACAAGGTAGTGTAATGTCTGACTCCAAAGAACATTACAAACTACTACCCAAAAACTTAATTTTATGTTAAGATAAATTTAGCTCTTCCAATTCCACTTTCTTTATCTAGTTTTGGATGCACTCAAGCTGTAACCTTTTGAAACAATAAACACAAAACTCTGTGGAAGCCAAGTGGTTTTAGACTAACTGGTTACCCATAGAGAGAGCAGCAGCCTCCTAACATATTGAAGTGAAAGATGCTTACTCCCAGAGCAACAGAAACACATAGCTAACCTTGAGATCCCTGATACTTGCTTTGGCTGAGTTCAAACTTACTTCACTCATCCCAAGAGGCATCACAAAAAAAATGGAAAATGAGGCAACAGTGTGACATCTTGTAGATGTGACAGTCTGGTCAGAGAGCAAGAAAAGTAGATAAATTTTGCCAGAAAACTAGGTAAGTTTTTCAGCTTGTGAGACTTTAGCAAGTTGAAGAGAAACAGTGATAGCTTATTAATATAAAAAAAAAGCTTATTAATTAAAAAAATATAGTTGCTTTCCTACTCTCTGTTTTCTTGATTTTCTCAAAGATTGTTTATAAGAAAGGCATTTTTTTAATTAGCCAATCAGGTGAAATGTATTGATTAATTGACCAATCAAGTCTATCTGTATTGGAACAAGGTATAAAAAGGAGGATCTGAAGTAAAGCGGCTATGCTGTGCAAACCAGCCTTCTGGTGAGTCTGTGTCATTTCTTACTCAACAGCAGCATCATCTCAGCCAAATAATTTCATCAAAAAATGCTGAGGCTCACTTGGCCCCTCCTGGAAGGCCTCAATAAAGGAGGGCTGCTAAATCAGCCCTGCACACCAAAGGGGAATCTGAGGTAGTTTATCTTCAAGTTACTCTACCCTCAGCTGAGGAACCATAGATCTCCACAGGGATGTTAAACAGCATGCATCTACCTCTATTAATTTCTAAAGGGGGAGCTGCTGAGAAGCTGCACTCCTACCAAGCAGCTACACACAAATTTCCCCCTCTCTCCAAAGTAAAATCACAGGCTTAAGCAAAGCCACTAATTTAAGAAGCCTTTTGAGTCTGTAAGGAGATGGCTCACACAGACTCAAGGTAATATTCCTGAGGTTATCAAATCAGGAGTGCATCCTGTCTCACTCATGAACCCACAAGCTGCAACTACCAGAAAGAATCCTTTATGTATTTCAAAAGCAGGCTAAGACAGTCTTTAGGCTTAACTTGTATTCTCTCCGTTTCCCCTTACAAAGAACCAAAAACCCCAAATTCTGTAGTGCTGGTGCACTGCTCTAAGATCTCTTTAGGACCACTGCATATTTGTATAACTGTCCTGATTTCATCTGGGTTAGAGATCATTTTCTTAGTGCTGTGGTTTGGATTCAGTATGAGGTTATTACACACTGATGTTTTGGCTGTTGCTAAGTAGTGCTCACCCTAAATCCAGGACTTTCCAGTTTTCTATGTTTCACCAGAGAGCAGGTGCATGTAAAGCCAGAAGGGAGAACAGCCAGGACAGCTGATCCAAACAGCCAAAGGGATATTCCAAACCATAACATGGCCTGGACATGACATAAACTAGGGGCAGTCAGGTGTGACAGGGTGGGCACTGGGCGAACAATTGCATTGTGCATCACTTGTTATTCTTGGATTTTATTCCTCTCTCTCTTCTGTATTACTATTTTTTTATTTTTGTTATCCCTTCAATATATACTCCAGTATACAATTAACTCTATTCCAGCCGAAACCAGGACACTAACAAATTTTTAAATTACTTAAAGCTGAAATCTTAGTGTTGAAATTGGCTCTTCTTCAGAAAGGGAAATTTGTTCTTCTCTGTATTTAATCAGTATTTTCCCATCAAAATTGCCAATGCTTTATTTCTTTCTGAAGTGTCCTGTACTGCTACCCAAAATAGACTTGCCTTGAACTGCTCTCCTGCTCCTTCACCTAACAATCCAAAACCTCCATTCCTATCATGCCCTTTCCAGTCTCTTCAAATAAAACACCAAACCAACCCTCCTATGAGGAATCAGTTCCTTTAAATATCTTTGAAATTTAACCCGTGGCAGTTATGTATGACTGTCAGCTAAGAAGTCACAATCAGAGCATGGATAAGTGTGCATGCACTGACAGTCTCCCACCCAGCTTGGTCCCATGCTTTTCTGTAAGTTCCGAGCAGCACAACTAGGCTGCATTTACAGAAGAAGATGGGTGACACAAGGCACAGGTATGCAAATCTCTACCTAAGGGAGCAGAGATTGTTGCCTGATTTCACTTTTTTTTCATATTTACTTGAAATGAATTAATTACTGCACATCCTGCAGCACCTACAACTTGGCATACACAGCAACACACGCATGCAAGGCACAGCAACAACAGTGAAACACAAATTGTATTTTCAGTGTACGCTCCAAGCTAGCACTGCACACAGGAACACAGAGAAATCTTCTATACAGACTTCTACAATGTCCTAGACAAAAAGATGACTTCACATGCAGTGCCATGCAGAAAACAGCTACAAAAAGTGATCTAGAATACACACATTTGCTGACACTATGAAAATAATCACACAATGCAGCACATATCAGGACTGCCTACAAGTAGTATGCTACAGCAGAGAGTGAACAATGACAAAGCAAGAAAACAAGGAAAAAAACCATGGTGCAGTGGTCAAGTTTAAAAATACAATCTGAAATTCTTATCCATCCCAATGGAGGCCTTTCATTCTGCCAGTGGTGGACTGAAATGAGACTGTCTCATCATGAGCCATGCTCTGCCAAGACTGGTGACATTCTTTACGGAAAGCAATCCAGTATCAAGGAAGTCCTGCACACCTTCAGATGTCTCATCCCTTTTCACTGACAGCACTCTGAGAATCTAGGTTGGGGTTTTTTTCCCATTTTAAATCCTAGAAATTTATTTGCTAAGCTGCTTGGCGTGTCCTGCCACTTCAATAATAAAAAATAAGGAGATACATCCTCTTTTTGCCTACTGAGTGTTAAAATACTAACACTCTAGTTTGCTTTCTGCTTAAAGGATTTCTATACTCATATTTTAAGAAGAAAGCACTGGTGAAGTAGTGAATTACTTTGGACACTATCTTTCCTATCTGTATGGTGTCCAACTTGCTGAAACTAAATTCTGGTTATATTTAAAAAAATCCAAACAAAAAAAAGCACACAAAAAAAGGAGAAAAAAAACCCTTGGATTTTGTAGACATATTTAGATGTGCAGCTCAGAGAAAGTTAGCTCCTACCCACACTCTCTTTTAGACTTGCCAATTCAGTTTACAACAAGCAAATATGTATTTTGTGAAATATTAGAAATCACCACACGAAATTTTCCACTGTGATTTGTAAACTGATTGCTCCACTTGCAATAAGTTGCTCAATCAGTTTACAAAAAAAAAAAATCACAACATACATTCAGACTCACAAGTATTACCATACAGATTGCAAAGACTCAAGTCAAAAAGCAGTTTTAAGTATGTCCTTTAAAGACAATTTTTAAACATCATCTTCGCAAGGAGAGGTACCAACACTCAAAATGTTGAAAAGTCCAAGCTGCAGTGAATGGTTTGCAAAGGGATAAGACATCTTAAAGTTGTGTTTTTCAAGTAAACAGTATTACCAGAATTCTATGGTTGTGGAAGACATGGACATTTAATGTGTGAAAGTCTAATAAAAAAAGATTTAAAAGTCAACTGGATTCTCTTGCAACTGGATTCTCTTTTTTAAAATACAAATATATATGCTACCCATAACTCAGTTAATGTTTTTGGATGGGCTTTCAGGGGGAAGGAAAAACGGAAGGGAAAAAAGGGGACAGGGATAGCAAGGGGAAGGGGTAAAGAGGGAAGCGGGAGAGAAAGAGAGAGGGAAAGGGGAAAGGGGAGAGGCCTCCTAAGAGAAGCCAGCAGAGCTAAAATGTTACTTTCAGATACTTTAGTCTTTCACAAATCAAAAGAGCTTTCTGCAAAAAGAGCAGACATGGACAGCTTTCCAAGAGGTCTGATGGTGCTGTACGGTATCTCCGTTTGATGACACTTTCAGCCTTCAACTGAGGCAATTTAAACTTCCTCTTCCCATCAGCTGCTTTGTCCTCCACTGAGTGTGAAATTCAGATTTGCGTTTAGCTCACTCCACATCTGTCTTGAAGGACACCATATTCTATGATTACTCATGTGTCTGCCAATACTGTGGCAACAAAGAATTCGGGGACTTTTTCTCCCATTTTTGGCCAACAATTACATTTTAAAAATTATAGTCAGTATTAAAAAAGTCCACACAGTGGCTGAGCTGCTCAGACAAAGCTCAATTTTGGAAACAGGATATAATTAAAAGACTGACTATCCTTCAATCAGATTGTGTCATTAGACACACCAAATACTACAAGTCTAAGTGTAAAATGTTTCATTTTCCTCACACATTCATGTGCTGTGATAAACTGTGAGATTCATAACTACCTACTCACTTCAACATGATGTAAATTTCAATCTGTTCTTCATCAAATTAAGCAGGTTTAAATAAAATAATGAATCAATATTACATTCCATTTAGCAGTGATGGCCAAACACGACCCGTAAACGTAAGGAAGATCAATCCAATAATCACACTTCATTACCAGTAAGACAGTTTCATTGAAACTTGAGTATATAAACTCCTGAAAATTAAAAAGCAGGGGGTGGAGGAGGCGGTGTGGTGATTGCTAGGGTTCTGTGTGCATTTTGGTACCCACCGATGTATACTCAGTCATATACACAAAAGGAAAAAAATATAATCCAATCCTTAACTGAATTCCAGTCCAGTTGACCTTTAAATCATTCTTGCACAGAATGAAAAGCTGTCCTTATAGAACTTCTTTGCTGTACCTTTAGTCACTGCAAAAGAATTTTTGTGGACTTGACCACTGACAAAAAGCTATATGCTAATTGACAATATTTAACTCGAGATCTAAATGCTAGACTATCTCTAGCCAACACAAGAAGTGAAGCATTTCTACCTCTGCACCCAAAAGACCTCCTCTGTGAGGCTGCGAACAATGAACAGAGAGCTGTTTAGACATCAAAAAATGAGATATACCATTGGTTTACAATGGTTCAAATGAAAAGCACCAACTCTTTTCTCTCCTGTGGCTGCTTAACTCCTGCAGGGTTGAAAGGCAAGAATGTTTAATTTCCTAGCATATCAAACAACAGTAAGATTTAAGCAGAACAGGAAAAGGGAGAAATAAGGCATTGGCAGGGGCAGGGGCATAGGGAAAGATATTTCAAACTTTCACATGAGCGTCAACATAACCACATTACACGCTTTAACTGCACCCACACTGTAATTACAGTAACATTAGAGATAATTGAACAGCAATAAGAAATAGCCTTCATTTTCATGTTATATACAGCAAGACTTTGCTAATTAAAAATTATTTTAAATACAATACAAACAGGAGAGTATTTTTAACCAGCACATACACTGGTTTTTAAGCAGCACATACACTCCATTTCAATGAGTTCTGTCGCTTTTACATTAAGATAAATTGTACTTGTAAATGCAAGCTGTGTGTGCACAACAAATACAGAGCACGACCAAATACAGACCAGCTCCTTCTGGCATACCAAGAATTTAAATGCCAACCCATTTTAAATAGATTCTATTCCTTACAGAGACATCAGGGATTCTTTAAGTGGGGGGAAAAAAGAAACCCCGTAGTGGGAATAAGGTGTCATATGCATTTTGAAATGTGACACTAAGGTCTTGACACTGACATGCCCTGCACAAGCCTCCCACAAGTTCTAGTGGATTTTTGTTATGCATGTGAGACCCCACTTTGAATGTTTCCCTTGCATTATCTCTCTTATGGAGCTGTTTTCTTGCAAATTCCCCTACAGATCACAAAGCCAATTTAGCAAGGCAATGCACAGCATGAGTTCTTCAGATGCAAGGGAACAACTATGCAAATGTAAATTGCAAGCTGGCAAGCATTGCTGGTACCAAACTGGACAGAGAGCAAATCTCACACTTGACATAGCAATGGAGCTATAATGCCTATAACATTAGAAGCAAAAACAGTATAATCTGAATTTAAACATCTATTCTTTAATGCTTCAATTTCCATATGCTTTTCATTCTGTAAATTTGAACTGTCTGAGATTATAATTTTCCTGTGATGTGCATCTGCCCAAAGCTCTTTGAGGTAAGAGGGGGCAAGCTCATTATTTCCAAATCTCAACCCTCTCTTGCTACTCATCAAACAGGTCTTCAGGAAAGCCATCACCTCCCTGTTAGCAGGTCAGATCAGGAGATATATTCCCATCAGTTTGCTGAGACTGTGGCAGAACACAGCGAATTTAAATATTTACAACTCCTGCAACAACCTGTGTACATGTATCTCAGGACAGGGTGGTGGTGGCAGGAGAAGTACCAAGTGGCTTTTTGCTTAACAAATTTATTTGAAAGAGTACCAGTATTAACAATTCAGTACTAAACAGAACTAAATAGCTGTTTAAAAGAAGCAGGTGAAATTGCACGTTTGATCTGCGAAAACTGCGAAGGATGAACTTTAGTAACGTGAAATATAAGATAACCCATGAGCTGTCTCCAGCCTAGGTGTAAAATTCCAGGACACCTCAACCAAACTTCCTTCCTTGCCTCCAAACCAGGTGCTTTCTACGGACAATGCTCAGAAATCTTTGGAGCCAACCACAGCTTCATACCAATTTAGTAGAATCCACCCCACTCACCAAAGCTGATCCTCTTTAATATCATCCTAATCATTAAGAAGCTATGAACCAGCATTAGCCTTTTAAAGATAAAGCTTTGGAGTTTCTCTTGTTGGTAACTCTTCCTGAGCACAGAGAAGTATGGTTTTAAAGTGGATAATTATGTCAGAAAAAAGCCTGAAAGCCAAGATTAGATGTCTTTCAAGAAGTAAAGCATGCACAAAGCACTTTCAATGCATCTCTAGGAGAGCAGACCAACTCATCCACGGATTACAAAGACTGCAAGAATGTTTCTAGCAGGATACCACAAAGAGCATGAGAAGTCCTAAAGCTAAGCACTCCTTCAATCTTCAAGCAAGAAGGAGGCTGTTAGGGCTGTCTGCTTCCAGTCATCTGCCCTTCAAATCTGCAACCGTGCAATAATCATAACCAATGGAAAATTATTTACTGTATGCATAATGAAGTGGGCAGGACAAAACTAGCTTGCGAAGTCTACACAGGCTCAGAAGGAAGTCAGAAGTACTGCACTGGGGCTCGTTGAAACCAGAGCAAACCATGGCAGGCAATGAAATCGTCAAAATCTACATCTCCATGCTACTGAACATGATGCTACTACATGTCCATGTAACTGAAATGCAGAAATAAACAACACAATGGTTATAAAGATTTACAGAATGCCACAAAGACGAATCTATTAAAGATTGAACAGAGTGCATTGTCCTTAAAAACATTCCCATTGTTCTGGACACAAAATTAACAAGAGTAGCACTATCCCCAAGTTATCTCTATAACTGCATCAGGAGTACCAGGAAGACAAAGATACAATGCAGACACCATTCCACTTAAGCCAGTCTAATAATAAAATCAGGAAAACATGCACAATTTCTGATACATACCTGCTCTATTAATCCTGTCAATTCTGTCCATGCTAGAAGCAGTGATTCTAATTCGAGGGCTACTCTGATTAGAGGATTCAGAGCCTCCATCAGCAAAGGAGTCTTCAAATGCAAAAAGTATTTCTTTCACACATTTGTGACAGATGTTGTGCTGGCAGGGAAGGATCAGTGGATGGGTAAACAATTCCTTGCAGGCTGGGCAGATAAGCTCTCTTTCAATACCCTTAATGGCAATCTTCATGATAGAAAGAGGGAGAAACAAGTCTAAGTGCAGGAAAACATGAGCCACCAAGACTTATGGCACTACTCTATGTCACCAAACCCCAGATCTGCACAACAAATACACACAATTTTATCTGGTTTGAGGCACTTCTTTGGATAAAACAAATATCAATTAACATTTATGAAAGCACTGACAGCATTCATTTCAACTGAAGTGAACATTGCCACTAGGCAAACTCAGTTCATCTTTAGGTCATGTCTGCATTGCAGGGGAGGAAAGGAGGGGAGTAGTCTTAATTCCACTCAAGGACCTAGTGAAATGCAACCGAACGCAACCATACTTCTCAACAATAGGAGTCCATATGTTTAGCTTGCTCGCTGGCTTACTAAGAGGGAGAAGGGGGGAAAAATGGAAATTAGGTGTCAGACTGGTTAAACAACAGGCTTTCCTGACGTGTAATTCACGTTTAAGGGCTGAAACTGCCTTGACTTCATTGGGGTAACAATTCTGAGTCAGGAACATCATTTATTTATTTATTTATTTATTTATTTCTATGTTTATTTACGTCTTTTATCTGTCGCACAAAGAGCCGCCCGTGGGTAGGTGCGGCTCTTCAGCAGTTCCGCGACCCCCGCGGCCGCCCCCGGCAGCCGAGCCGCGGTGTCGGCAGCGCCCGCTCCCGGCCCGGCGCCCTCGGGCAGCGCTTCCCCTCCGCGCCCCGCGCCCGTCGGAGCTCCCCGCCAGCCCTGCCCGCCGTCCCGGCGGCGCCGACAGCCCCGCGGGGCCGGGCGTGCCGGCGCACACCGCGGGCACCGACGGGCTGAGGGACTGACGGGCTGAGGGACTGACGGGCAGGCGCGCACCCCACAGCCCCCCGCGGCGCAGGAAGAGCAACGCCGCACCCCGCCCTGGCGGCCGCGCCCCGCCGGTTCCCCCCGCGCTCACCGGGCTCTCCAGCCGATCGCTCTCCATCCCTGCACCGCTTCCTCCTCCTCCTCCTCCTGCGCCGGGGCGCCGTCAGCCCGGGCGGGCGCTCGGGACACGCAGGAGCAGCGCCCGCGGCGGCGCCCGGCGCAAAATGGCGAGCGGAGGCAGCGGAGGCAGCGCGGGCGGGCGGGCGAACGCGGGCGGGCGGGCGGGCGGGCGCGGGGCAGCGCGGGCGGGGCGGGGCGGGCGCGGCCGCCGCTGCCGCCGCAGAGCGGAGCTGTCCAGCCGGCCCCGCCGCCCGCGCCCCGCGGGACGCCGCCGCGCTGCCCTGCTATTGTCCTGGTCCTTGTCCTTCGCCAGGCGGCCCCGGAAATGCCGCCCGTCCCGGCGGTGTTGAGGGCTCTCCCGCCCAGCCATTGATCACCCCCCGTGGTATCCGTGTGATTGAATCGCCGAGTCTTATCGCCGAATCTCTTGGGTTGGAAGGGACCTCGAAGATCACAGAATCACAGTACCAACCAGGTTGGAAAAGACCTCTGCGGCCATCGAGTCCACTCTGTGTCCTAGAGCCATCATGTCAACTTGACCTTGGTGCCAAGAGCTACATCCAGTCTTTCCTGAAATACCTTCACTACCTCCCTGGGCTTTGAAGAAATTCCCTCTCATGTCCAAGCTAAACTACTCCTGATGCAGCTTCAGACAGTGTCCTCTCAACCCAAACATCTATTTCCAATCCCCAGGACACCTTCCAGAATGGATGGCTCAAGCCTTCTTAAACCTGGCCTTACTCCAGGGTTGTAGCACCAACAGCTACTCTGGGCAACCTATGCCAAGTGTCTCCTCACCCTCTCAGTGAAGAATTTCTTCCTAACATATAATCTAAACCTGCCCTCTTTAAGTTTAAATTCATTATGCCTTTTTACACTACCTGGCCATGTAATAACTCCCTCTCCGTCTTTTCCATAAGCCCCCTTTATGTACTGAAAGACCATGGTAAGGTCTCCATGGAACCTTCTCTTCTCCATGCTCAGTAGTGCCAACCCTGTGAGCCTGTCTTCACAGGAGAGGTGCAATAGCCCTCTGATCATTTTTATGGCCCTCTTTTGGACTCACTCCAACAGATCTGTGTCTGTCTTGTGCTGAGAATCGCAGACCTGGATGCAGTACTCTGGGTGGATAGAGTAAGGGCAGAGGAGAGGGGGATAATCTCCTCCCTCAGGCTGCTGGCCACACTTCTTTTGATGCAGACCAGGATACAATTGGCTCTCTGGGCTGCAAGTGCACACTGGTGCCTGATATCCAACTTTTCATCCTGAGAACCCTCAAGTCCTTCTCCTCAGGGCTGCTCTCAATGACTCCTTCTCCCAGTCTGTCCTCACATTTGGAATTGCCTCAGTCCAGGTGCAGCTCCTTGCACTTGCACTTGCTGAACTTCATAAGATTCTCATGGCCCCACTTCTCTGGTTTGTCCAGGTCCCCCTGGATGGCATCCCTTCCTTCTTTTGTGTCAGCTGCCCTGCTCAGCTTTGTGCCACCTGCAGATTTGCAGAGGGTGCCCTGGATCTCACTGCCCATGTCATTAATAAAGATACTGAAGAGTGCCAGTCCCAAGAGAGAGCCCGGAGGAAAACCACTCATCACTGGCCTTCACCTGCGCACAGAGGCATTGATCACAGCTCTCTGGCCAATTCCTTATCACTGAATAGTCCATCAATCAAATCCATGTCTCTCCAATTTGGAGATAAGTATGTCATGTGGGACTGTGTCAAAGACCTTACAGAGATCATCTCTCGGTCTTGCCTTGTCAACTTCTGCAGTCACCCCATCACAGAAGGCGACCAGTTTGATCAGGCACAATTTCCCCTTTCTGAAGCTGTGCTGGCTGTCTCAGACCACCTCCTTGTTTTTCATGTGCATTAACATTTTTCCATGAGGACCTGTCCCATGATCTTCCCAGGCACCAAGGCAAGGCTCACAAGTCTGTAATTACCCAGACCTTCCTTCATCCCCTAATCAAAAATAGGTGTGGTGTTTCCCCTTTTCCTGTCACTGGGGGCTTTGCCTGACTGCCCTGAGTTCTCAAATATCATGCAGGGGCATGCACCAGGCAGGTTTTGTGGCAGCTAGGATGAAAAAGAGGTGAAGAAGTGGTTATGATGGCCAGCACCTCCTACCCTTCCCTTACAGCACGTTGCCATTGGAAAAGTGGTAGTAAATACCCTTTTCACCATCCACCAGAACAAACTAAAAATACTTTTAAATTTCCAGCGTTTTCAGGTTTTGGCAAGGGTGCACACACAACCACTGCAGTGGCAATAGTTAACATAGCTTAAGCTAAGGGAGAAAGAACCAGTTAGAGAGCTTTGAGTGAAAGCATGCACTGTCCTCACATTACACAGGGGAAGGAGGTTTAGTTAATTAAAATACATGAACCCTGGATTATATGAATGATGAAATGTTGCCAGTTTGACAAACACCAAATTTGACCTACTTGCTTATTTGAAGAAAAACATCAGGATAAGAAGTTCCCTTTTCCCCTGAAAACTACTTTTCATATGAGTCAATAAAACAAACACTGTTGACATGCCTTGCTTGGACATTATTTACACCTGGGTTTTGGGGCCTGGATGTGAAACTTGAATGGAAATTTACACTCACAAATCATGAAGACAGAGGTAATTTTTTACATCTCCAGTATAACAAAGAAGAACTTTCTCCAGAAGACTTATAAAGATATTATTTAGCATTTACTTTAGTAACCAGTTTCATAAAAATACAGAGTGCTCTGGTTGAAATTATTCTGATAATGCCAGCAAATGTACAGTGTGTGTATTCAAACTGAAACATGTCACTTAACTGGGCGTGGGGAGAACAGGTTGGTAAGGTCATATGTTGTCAGCCTTCCAACTATGTTTTGAATACTAATTTGCAAGCCTCTGAATAAGGATATTATCTCTTACCTAACTCTGCTATTCCCCAGCTTCCCTGATTCCAGCTTTCCTTACCAGCAGGCTTACCAGTTTTTAATGAGCACTTGTCTGCACTAGCATGCTACCCACCACTGATTGTGGCTGGTGCAGGGCCACACAAACAATCAGCCCCAGACTAGGACAAAGACCCCTGGGCTGTAAGGCTGCCTTTGAAACAGTAGGATGAACTTTTGTCTTTGGTGCCTCAGCAAGGAAAACCATTCTGAGCTCCGTGCCAAAGGTGTAGATGCCAGCACAGTAGATGTTGCTAGTGCAGACAAACATGGAGCACACATTTTCCCCTGGCCTCCTGAAGTCTTCATGTGGACCAAAGTGCCAGCTACTGTTACTGCCAGGACTTGTGAATTATTCCTTGTTCAACCTCTTAACAGGGCATTAAGGTATTATCTTGTTTGTGTACCTGTTTGCTCTGGCTTCAGGGTGGTTTAGAGCAAGATTTTAATTACCACCTCCATTGCATGGAAGAAAACATCCTTGAAGGTCTCCAAAGGGCAAAACTCCCTCTTCTGCCCTTACACCTTTTTACTAGCCTTTTGATCCTCCCCCAGCTCGGGACTACTAAATTTGCAGTGCCAAAATTCTCATCAGCTTCAAGTATTGGGAGGAAAAGCAACAGCTAGAAATGATGGATACATTAAAAAGATAAGAGCACAAACCAATGTCAGAAAAGACTCCTGTCCTTGGCTTCTGAAAAGGGGGTTAATAAGATCAGCATGACTGCAGAAGTCAGGCCTATCTTTCTGCTTTGTTTCCAGCCAAAGATGTGCATCAATTGTACACCCGTTTTGCTCACAAGGGACTCTTTTTGCCTGGAGTAATGCCTGGGTAGTGTTTAAGCAGCTCTACACATCCCTCAAAATTCAGCCCAGTTGCTTTGGCAGACAGGGCCTGACCAAGATTTACAGCAGGCCCTGCGCTCCCAAGACAGCAGAAGAAAACAGTAACTAGGATGGGTGGGCATTGGCATCCTCTTTTCCACCCTACCTCAGGTTAAATATGCTTGTTAATTAAATAATTGATATGCAGAAATGTCCCAAGTGCTCATTTGCATTGACTATTAAGATAGTTTGAAGAGGGATCAAGCACTGCTTTCCAACAAGCTGTAAAAATCCTACACTTGTTAAACAGTGCAGCTGGAGTCTTACTGCAGGAAAAAACACAAGCCTGTCCCAAAGCACCAGAAAGGTTCTGCCAACACCTCCCCTGCCTTCAGAAGGTCCTCAAACCAAAGCTTTTCAAGACATTTTAATGCTGATTTTGCAACCACAGCTTGAGACTGAATCCATTTCCTGCTGGTCTACCTTCCTCTGACTGAAAATATTATTGGAGCCAGTACATCACAGTGGAGATATGCAGGATGAGAACAGAATTTTTCCTGAGCTAGTATGACTGACTGTCCTGACACACAAACACTTTTCTCCCTGTGCAATGTGTTTTCTTCCAGGAGGAATTCAGAGGGGTGTTAGCCCTCATTCCACTCTCTGTAAATTGTCAGCGATGCAATTTGCTTCTCTACTTACTTCTCTTCTCCTGAACAGCTGAGCCTAATGAAGATGACTTTTACCCACAGGTTTCTTCCAGTCATGGAGGCTAAAAAATAAGGCACAGTAAGGCAGGAATTTATGCTGCCTCAGAGAAATGTGTCTGTTTTGGCTCAGGAATAGAGGCTCAGTTTTTTCTTCACAACAGCTGACCTTCCACTTGAAGAGCTAGCATGGATCTGTAGACTTTGGGTGTTTCAAAGTGAACACAACTATGGCCAGAGTATCTCATCATAAAACAAAAATATCCTAATCCCTTGTTTCAGGGTTGTTTGTCTTCTCAGCACAGAAGTGCCACACACCTATGAAGGTAAACCAATTTGAATTGGAGTTTGGGTGAATAGCTGGGGTAGGAGTGAGTGTATTTTGTCTACTGCAAAAGTAAACTTACCGGGAATAATTTGGGGGAGGGTGGGGAAGAGGCAGGGTTGGAACAACCTGAGACCATTTCTGGAACAATGTATCATTTTGAGAGAGATGACTATGGTTTGAACTGAGATTTCAGAGTCCTGAAAGAAGGTCATACAATCTCTTTCTGCACCAGTGCCTCTGATACAAAATGCAGTTAGTTGTTAATCTGTCTCTCAGGGGTATTTTGGAGTTCTCAGATGCTACTGTGACATTTGTGACAGGTGCCACGGAGGCCCAGAATATCTCAGAGAGTATTGTAGTGAGCCTAAACAGATGTTGTGGATATATGGATTACACAAGGAGTGTCTTGTTGGAACTAAAAGTGCTACATGCATCTTTCTGTTCTAGGTACTATGTGCAAGTTGTATGTATGGAGGGGAGTCACAGGAGAATAACAAGTACAGATCATTAAAAGGGATAACAGGTTTTTGAAGTGACATTCCCCCGGGGAAAAGTGATATATAATGATTTGCCCTGTTTGAGAGGTCTGAGGGAGGTTGCCAGCTAAGTGGAAAAACAGCATGCTTGCCAAAAGGGGTCATGTGCCCAGGATCCAAGAGCTGATGCACCGTACTGCAGGGACCCTGCACATTGAGAGTGAGTGTGCAAGTGTAAAGTATTCTTATTGTGTCCTGATTTTCTAATAGATCTTTGTTCAGTGAAAGCCAGATGCTTAGCAGTTAACTCAGAGAATGTTAATGCTTCCAGGCTTTATTGAAAAAGCTTTATTGATGGGGGGAAGTGGGAACAGGAAGACTGGAGTGCTGAAACCTCTAAGCAGCAATACCCTGACCCCAAGCAAATACAGTTTAGCATGCAGAAGAGTCCTTTTGCTGGCATGATTTATGTCATCTGAGAAAGCAGTTTAATTATCCCAGCAGAATACCTCCAAGCTGCTGGATAACATCAATAAATTACAAAGAGGCTGTAATCTAAAACCCCGGTCTGAAGGTTCAAAAAATGCAAAAGGAAAATGTGGAGAGCAAAAGGTCCCAGAGCGGGGAGCTGGAGAAGCTCAAGCAGTGACTGCTACCATGGGAAGTCTGTGGGAGTCACACAACTGATCTTACTCCCCTTTTCTTCATGTACATCGAGTGTCTGTGATGATGGCAGTTGGCAATGTCATTGTCTGTGTATAAACAACAGCACTGTTTGTGATAAACATGCATATTTCACACTACTGTGCCAACTCTGCTGTCTATCAAGCCATATGCTCTTGCAGAGGGTGTCTGAATTAAGTACAAACTGCTTGACTGTGGAATAAGGGACAGATGTAGCACTGTCCCATTGCAGCGACATTCCGGGCACAAGGCGTTTCTGGCCTGAAACACTTTATGATTTTCTTTGGTGTGTAAAATGGACAGAACAAGACTGAATTTTCCTTTTCATGATTATGCTCAGGCAAGGAGAATCAGAAAATCACCCAGGAAACTCCTCATTCACCTGCTCTAAATGTTGTTCCAGAACTTTTAGAAGAGGGAGTGGAGGAGAGGGAGAGGTAGAAGGATGTGTACAAAGACCCGGCTGTGAAGGCAGCCTTTGGAGATGTGCTGGAAAGCCATCAGGATGAGTCTGGAATAAGCAATATTTCTGATAGCATCATTGTTTGCCACAATTATTCTTAAGTTTAAAAATAATTGCGGCAAACAATAATTAAACAATAGTTTAAACTTGTGGCTGCTTCATTTTTTTAAAAAAAAACCCACTGTGCCTTAATCTTTGGTGCTCCCTAGTTTTCACACATATCAGCATCTCAGCAGTACAAGAAGTTGCCCACATATCAGCACCTCAGCAGTACAAGAATTTGGATTTCCTCATTTTTCTTTCTTTTTATTCTTTTTTTTTTTCCTACGAAATGCGCGCACAAGTTTTCCTCAAGATACGTGCCAGCCCTGAATCGGAGCCTGGGGAAGGCAGCTCTCTCCGCAGCGTTGCCCGCAGGCGGTGGCCAGCAGCAGCAGCAGCAGCAGCATCCCCCGGGCAGGCCCATCCCATCCCGCTGGAGCGGGGCATTCCCCGCGCACGGAGCAGGAGCGCGGCTGGGACTCGACAGATGCGTGCCCAGCTGGGCTGTGCTGGGCCGGGGGAGTTCGCGTGGAAATTGTTTTTTAACGTTTTCACCCCGTAGCCTCGGAAGTGTGTGACAAATATTAGTCGAGCCTCCAGAGTACATTAGCTGTACAGACGAGTCATTCCTCCCCCGATATTCCCCTGAAAACCCGACGAACCGCTGGCGGAGGGAGCGGTCTCTCCCGCGGGCTCTGCCCGCCCGCCCCGCGCGGTGCCCCGCGCTGTCCCGGTACCTTGTCCCGCCGCAGCAGCTCCTGGATGTAGGCGAACCGGGCGCTGTCCGCGGCCGCCTCCATGGCCCCGGGATCGCTCCCGGGCCGCCCCTGCGCTCCCTTCGCGCTGCCCGGCGCCGGTGCCGCGGCGCTCCGCGGAAGGGCCGCCCCGGAGCCGCGGATGCTCTGCCCGCCCACCTGCGCACGGGGCTCGGGATGCTGCCGAGAACGCCTCATCCCGGAGCGTCCGACAGGGCTGGCGGCTGGCACCGCCTCTGCCCAGGTGCGGGCGCTGTGCCAAAGTGGGCAAAGTTGCACCTGCTGGAGGTCTCGTCCGAACTGAGTGAGGCTGCATCAGTCACCGAGCCTGTGGCGTTGGGCTGGTGGCTGTGCATGCCCCACAGGGCAACACCCGAGGTGGGCATCCCTCCTTTCAAAGCACGGGTTGTAGTGGATGTATGCTGAGGAACAGAATGAGGCATTTGTGCTCAGGGTCCACCTGGCTTTCTTAACTTCTAAGCTTTTGTTTAAATGACAAATTGTGTCTCGAAAGAGGACACCTACTAATGTGCATCATTGCATACATGATCTCTCTCGTGTGTTTGCACTCTACTGGTGATGTGTTTGTGGGGTAACTCAAACAGGAAGAAATCTTCCTGTCAGCTCTTTTCTTCATCCCAGGCCTGATGAAGCTTTTACGGATGAGATGGATACAACATGCCTGTATACAACTGTGGCAGAAAAACTGGTCCCAGCAAGCCGAGTACCATCCTCTTCTTGATGAAGGCAACCATCAGTCCCACTGAAATGTACACACCAGGCATGAGGATCAGCTATCAGGTGAGGGAGGCCCTGCACAACCACCCAGACACAGTGGGCAAGGGAGCTCCACAGGACAGCTGGGGAATGATTTTTGACACGTGGCAGACATCACACTCTGCTCCATGCCTTATATACACCTTCCTTCTGGTGGAGGAACTGCAGTTTGCTTCAGCCAGCAGTGGCTCATTCCTTCCTGTTCTGGAGTCAAACTTCCCCAAACACAAAGGTCCCAGCTGCCTGCAAGACCTGGGGGAGAAGCACAGGTGAATGGCCAGCCCAGTGCTGTCTCACCAGTCCTCTTCCAAGCTGAGGGGTGGAAGGTGACAAGCCTTTCTTACGCTGTAGCTATCAGGTATCCCATGGAGCACATCACCCCTGTGTGATGAAAACACACCAAAGAGTATTTTATAACAGTATAATGTATCCCCTCAGAGGCTGCATTTCCTAAGATATTGATATAGTAGTAATGTTATCTCAAATTCTCTCTACAGGTTACTCACTGAAATAGTATATCCTTCCTTTCTCAGGAAACGGGACTCATGAATAGCTTGAGACTTTTCTGTTAATAGATATTGCACAATTATGTCTATCAAATTACTCATTATTCAAATAGCTCATTATTATGATATAGACAGGCTTTCAGTGCACTTCTTGCTTTTGTGCAAACAGCCCAGGAATAAACAATAGGCAGTGGCACTGGGGACAGTCAGATGTCATCGCCCACACAGCTGAGCAGTCCTCCATATATAATTGAATTCAGTGTGAGATATTTTGCTTCCTGATTTGATTTCAGCTCACCAAATGGCAGTCATGTAGAGAGTTTTCACTAATTTCTTTGTCTCAGTGTGGAGTGCTGGTAGAGGGCAGGGCTGGCTGAGGCTGGGACAAGGGGCTGCCTAAGGAGTACCTTGCTTCTCCCAAGCTGCTCCAGCCCAGCAGCCGTCTGCAGCAATCCATGCTAGCCCCAGCAGCACTCCTGCCTCATGGAAGGCTGTACCACAATATCAGAGCGAATCTCCAAACCATAACCAGCACCAAGAGCAAACATACCTTTGACCCTACAGCTCCTTAATGACAGGCTGTGTGAAAAGCCAGGGAATTTACAACCCTTTGAGCTCCACAGCACAAGCTGTTCACTCCCTGGAATGCTTTCTGCGGAAGGCACGCCTGCACTGGGCCTCTCTGCAGCTTTGTCATCTCTTGGTCAAGCAACCCCAACAGCCACCAGCCAAAGAGTGTGAGACAAGAGCATCCTCCTGTGCATGCACCATGGATCTGCTCCAAATCAGAGCTCTGTCTGGTGTTCTTCAGCCACCAGCCACACTGGTACTGTGAACTGTGTGCTCTGAATTTCTGGCTGCTGTCTCATGATGCTTTTTCTTTGACAGTTGGGTTTGGGTTGTGTGCTTTTTTTTCTATTTCTGCCAAACCTTGTAGTTTATGGCCAGCCTGGGCTGCAATTCAAGGACTTAGGACAAAAAAAAGGACGATTCCTTGTCCCCTTTCCTTCACCTCCTCATGTCCCACTTCCATAAATTGATAAATGTAAATGTAAATGTAAAGAGATGTAAATGTAGCTCAAGTCATGAAATTAGCCAGGGTAAAAAGGATACAGGAGAAGGTGGAAGAAGCTGATGGTTCTTTCATGATCTCTTCCTGGAGTGGTTTTGTTTCAGGATTAGCTCTGTTAGCGCTCCAGGTTCAGATGGCTGCCAGTGATAGTTAAGCATGAGGAAGCCACAAACCACTTTTGCATTGATTTCACAGCTTCAGCAATAGCATCCTCCCAAGCAGCTCTAGCCAGGATGATCCTGGCCCCTGCATGACAGGGCGCTCTGCCATCAGGCCTGCAGAAAAGTGTTTTTTCTGCAAGTCCAGCAAGCCTGAGCAGAGCCCGTTCAGTGTCATTTACACAAGCTCTCTCCATATATCCAGACTAGCTAGGAATTTGGGACTATCTTCTGCAGAAGATAACGATTCCTGTAGCCATTCTGAGGGCCCCTGTTTACTTCTCCTTGGATAGCAGACAGCTTGTGCCAGCCTTTGCCTTGAATGGCAGAAGGCTGACAGGGGAATGCACACTTGGAAGGCTGCAGACAGATGGGGAAGCTTCAAGTTGCAGCTGGTGGCCCAGGGGCTTTCACCCCTCTTGGAAACTGATGGCTGTGTTTTACACAACCTTTGCTGAGGTGGGCTGTATGTTGAAAATAGCTGGGAGCTCCTCACCTGTTCCACGTAAATACAAGATATGAAATTGCTTTTCATGCTTTTCCTTCTTTTGTTTTGTGTTCTACATCGGTTCCTTTCTAAGGAATCAGGATCAAATCAAACCTTCTGTTGTCATGAAATTATCTAAGAGTACATCATATTATGTTAAAGTGAAACATGCAGAATCATATTTGTTTTCTGTTACTTAAACTTGAAGCAGGTCTCCAAAAAATAATAAGGACACCAGTCAGATTACCAAATTGTATAAAATATTCAGTATAATTTTATATCAGTGGAAAAACTGGTCCTGAATTTTAATCCTGAAATGCCATGCAGCACAAGGTTCTGTTGTGGCATGTTGGTACACAAATGAAAACACAAAGGAAATTTGTGTTTCCTGACCTGTGAATTACCTTGATTCTCCCAGGACAATGATGACAGCTCTAGATTTTCTCTTTGATCTGTTTCTCTGTCTTAGTTGAATTCTAAACTAAATCTGAATGGTAAAGCTCACTCAGATGCTTTTGTCTTTCTGTTCCCCTAGGACTGTGAGGTATTTTCCCATTTCCATGGCACAGGGAATCCAGCCAAGCACACACCCTCAGTAGCTGTCTAGCACCATGGGGAGGTTGGTCTTCTCCCACTGTGCTCCTGTAAATACACTTGAACCTGTTGGCCATCACCACCTGAGGAAATCAGCTTAAAGGGTGTTTGAAACCAGTTGCAGGTGGTATGGTTAAGGGCTAGCTAAATAATTCAGTATTAAGGAGAGAAAGAGCAGTTCTATTTTATAGGGTGCAGGGATCTGCGTAGATGTACTTTCATCTCAGACAACTCCTATGTCACTGAACAATGGAGATGCAAGAAAGGGGATGTTAAAGATCACTAGTGGAAAACTGTGCTAGTGTTCGACATGAAGTGCTTCACTGTTGAATTGTACATGTGAGCAAACATTTGAAATCACGGAAGAAACACCTCTGAAAGGAGAGTGTGCATGTCTCTGGTAAAGACTGTGACCTGCTTTTATTCTCTGAGCCTGCATCCTGCTTGAGTAATATGAAAGAGAATCCATGTGAATAGTTTATGAATTTTATATAAACTCCTTCCTTCTGCAGGGAGTGATGTAGATGTGAACTGTCACTGCCAGAAGAAAATTGCCATGGAACAGATGAGACCTTATGTTGGCTGGAAAGGTGTTGCAAGCAGGCCAAGTGAGACCAAACTATTTCAAAGAGCAGAGTACTTGCATGCAGACCTAAACCTCTCCCCGCAATGAACCCCATCTCTAGTTTTCCTAGGCACCACAGGGGCATTTTTTCTGCCATTTTTTCCCCACCTGTGCTGCTCTCAGGTAAATAGAGAAGCAAAACTTTCCAAAGTCTCTTGACAAGCAGTCAGAAAACTGTCTGTTTGTGCATCTCTTCCACATTTTAACTGATGTTGTTTTCAAGGTGGCCAACTCCTGCACCTTTACCCTAACAACCATGTTAATGAACTCCACTCAGGATCCAGATTTAGCCTGGGATCCCCAGATCTCTCACATGATGCAGCTGCCAAAACACATCTTCACTTTCTGCTGGAGAGTTTGATTTTTACCCTTTCAATGTCTCTAAACTTCCTTAGTAATCTCGTTTTTATCCCTGATCATCGCAGACTGAAATAGGGTTTTATTTATTTTCATGTACTTTAATAGAAAACAGCAAAAACGTGAAGGTCACTAAACACATAGGACTTAATATGGCAATTAAACAACATGAGATACTGAAGCAGTGGCTAACACAATCCACTTGGTTGCTAATGGCCAGAAGAAAGATTCTCACCCTTTGCCTGTCCCTCTTGTTTCTCTTCTGGCTGTAAGTCCTTGGCAAATGTAATAAAATTTAAAAGTGAATTCCAAATCCATGATCTATTGGAGCCAAATAATTTGTTCTACTGTGCTCAAACCTTTTGACTGGAGATACCTATCCCTAGGCTTTTTTATCTTGCTCCCTTTAAAGACCTCTTTTCAAATTCTAATATATTCATTCAGTGTTTTTGAGACACACACAAGCACA